TACAAAAAGTTGGGGACAAATTGGAGTGATGAGAACATAGAAGCATACAGGGAGGCTAAAAGACAAGCAAAGAAAGCCGTAAGGGAAGCTTGAGGGAAAGTGAACAAGGAGTTGTATGAAAAGTTGGACTCTAAGGAAGGAGAACTAGATATTTATAGACTTGCTCGTCTTCGTGATCGCAGAACTCAAGATATTGCAAAAGTTAAGTGTGTGAAGGATGTTGATAAGAGGATATTAATGGACGACGGAGAGATAAAAGAGAGGTGGAGGTCATACTTTGATACACTATTCAACGGGAACAAAACGCAAGATATCGGCGATTTGTCCATACCAGATTGTATGGTAAACCGTGATTTTGTGAGAAGGATCCAAACAACGGAAGTTAAAGAAGCTCTGAGGAAGATGGGACGGAAAAGAGCAATGGGGCCAGATGGCATACCGATCGAGGCTTGGAGAAGTTTGGGAGAGAGAGGCGTCGAGTAGTTAACAAGTTTCTTCAACATGATTTGGAGAAACAACAAGATGCCAACGAGTTGGAGGAAGAGTACTCTTATCCCCTTATTTAAGAATAAAGGTGATGTACAAGAATGTGCCAACTATCGAGGGATTAAGCTTATGAGTCACACCATGAAACTTTGGGAGCGAGTGATTGACAAAGACTTCGAAGGACTGTGAAGATTTCAGAGAATCAATTCAGTTTTATGCCTGGTCACTCAACAACTGAGGTCATTCACCTTCTTCGGCAACTTATGGAGAAGTATAAAGATGCTCATAAGGATCTGCATTTGGTTTTCATTGACTTAGAAAAGGCATATGATAGGGTACCTCGAGAAGTTCTTTGGTGGGCCTTAACTAGGAAAGGCATATCACGCAAGTATATCGGCATCATCATGGATATGTATGAGGATTGTACTACAAATGTTCGTACTAGTGTAGGGAGGACTGAAGAGTTCCCTATTACTATCGGAGTGCACCAAGGATCAGCCTTGAGTCCTTTCTTATTTGCCATAGTCATGGATGAACTTACGAAGTCAATTCAAGACGATATACCGTGGTGCATGATGTTTGCCGACGATATTGTATTGATTGATGAGACGCAATCAGGTCTTAAAGCAAAGTTAGAAGTATGGCGACAAACATTGGAGAATAAGGGTTTCAAACTAAGTCGGAGCAAGACAGAGTACATGGAGTGCAAGTTTGGTGGAGGTAGAAGTAGTGGTAATAGCGGAATTACTCTGGATGGTAAGGAGAAACCAGTCAACGATATGTTCCGTTACTTGGGCTCCATAATTCAGAAGGACGGTGAGTTAGATGGAGATGTATCCCATAGAATCAGAACAGGGTGGATGAAGTGGAAGAGTGCGTCAGGATTTCTATGCGACCGAGGTATGCCGACTAGACTGAAGGGTAAATTTTATAAGACAGCAATTAGGCCTGCATTACTGTATGGCGTAGAGTGTTGGGCGGTGAAACAATGTCACATTCAAAAGATGAGTGTGGCAGAGATGCGCATGCTGCGTTGGATGTGTGGGCATACTAGGAAGGACCACGTGAGGAATGAGACAATCAGACAAAGGGTGGGAGTAGCACCTATTGAAGACAAGATGCGGGAGTCGCGCCTACGGTGGTTTGGTCATGTGCGTAGAAGACCGAGTGATGCACCTGTTAGGCGAGTTGAGATGTGTGGAGAAGAGGCAGGGAAGAGAGGGAGAGGAAGACCCAAACAGACGTGGGTTAGGGGAGTTCGAAGTGATATGCTTCTTCTGGGGTTGGATGAGGGTATGACTTTGGAGAGAACTAAGTGGAGGGCGGGTATTCACGTGAAGGAGTGATCTTGATAATCTTTTTCCCTCATCTTTTTTTTTCCTAGTTTTTTTTATCCTTATATATATATAAGCATTATTTGCAGCCTTTTTATTTTATCATTTATATATATATTCATCTTTTTTTATATTATCTTTTAATAATAGCTTATCTTTTTATCTTTATTCCTTCTTTTCCTTTTGGTTGTGATATCATGTATCGATTCATGTTAGCCGACCCCAATATCTTTTGGGACTAAGGCTTGGATGATGTTGTTGTTGTATCTGATTATTACTATAATTGAAGTTCGTATCGTTTTAACAGTTTTTAGAGTTAGATAAATAGTTTCACGACATGGTCATTAAGAACATATTGTGAGATAGTATAAAAAAGTGGGGATATGACATAAATAAAGAAAAATTTCCACTTTTGGTCCCGTGACTATTATACCACTTCCACATTTAGTCCCTTACTTTCAGATTGTCCACATTTAGTCCGTGACCATTATCCCCTCACCACCTCTTGTCCTTCCGGCCAAAATTCCGGCAAATTTAATGCAGATTTTACGTATGAAAAACCAAATTTAATGCAAAGACTGATATGAAAAACCCAACCTGATAAAATTAAATGCAAAGACCGACTCTGAGGCTGAGAAGTGGATTAAATTTGCCGGAATTTTGGCCGGAAGGACCGAGGGTGGTGAGGGGATAATGGTCACGGGCTAAATGTGGACAATCTGAAAGTAAGGGACTAAATGTGGAAGTGGTATAATAGTCATGGGACCAAAAGTGAAATTTTTTCCATAAATAAACAAATTGCTGGACAGGAGTGATAAAATGGTGGGGAAAAAACTCCATTCACACAACGTAATCCTATTGTGAGGATGAAACTGTTAAAACTGGCAGAGAATGAAACACAAATTTTTAAGATATTGTAATGCCAGAATTTCAGAAATCAAGGACGAATTTTAGAAAGAGTTTTATTCTCCAGCTTTAAAAGACAAGTTGACCTATGTAAGCACACAGGTAGTATGTGATTGTAAATTTCGTCTTTAGTAGTGTGGGGTACTGGGGTAGGTTATTATGAGAAGGTTAATATTTAGTATTGGCATTCTTCGCCATATTAATAGGCAAAAGAGTGAGCCATCTCGTTTAAAGTCTAGTGTACGTGATTCTGTGTTGTAGTTCCAAGAGAGCACATGAGAAGAGCATTTAAACATTGAAAGCTATATTGTTTAAATCAATTTTTAAGATTATTATGAAATTTAGTATAGGTTGTTATATAAAAGAATTAGTAGTATGTCTACTAAACAGTAGATATTCCATCTGTTTGTCAATAAAAAAGGGTTCAGATGTATTTTTAGCATTCCACTTAAGAGTCCGTTTGGTAGCACGAAAATCGACTGATTTGGCTGATTCTGCTGAAATTTATGAAGTTCTGGCTGAAGTAGCTGTATTGGCTGATTCTGCAGATTTAAGAAAAAATTGTTTTTATATAATTTATTAATAAAATAAAGAAAAAATTGTATGTAAAAATAGCTAAAATGATCATCTACGGTAACTTCAGCCAAATCAGTGCTTATTACACAATTCAGTGCGCTAAAACAAAAATTACGTGTTGGGTGAAAAAGTTGGCGGATAAGCCTGATAAACCGAAAAACAGTGTTGCCAAGCGGCCTCTAAATGCTTCAACAATAAAAATAAAAAAAGTAGCCTTGAAAAGGTTTAAAGCAATATCGATGTACTAAAGCTTAGTGTGAAGTCTAGGCTAAAATAATGTGAGACTATACCGAGTTGCTCTAAGTTTGGAGGACGAAACTTTTATATGGTGAGAGGGGTTGTAACACCCTGATTTTTGGTTCTTCAGATTTCTATTCTCCATCTTAGCCGGTCTTATTCCAAGTTACAATACAATCTTTTTGGTTAGTTAAATTAGTAGCAATGTGCACATAGGTATGGATAGAGAATTCTGTTTTGCAAAATAACCTTGATTTAGTTAAATGAATTTGTTTTTTTATGGTTTCAAACTGGTACTTTCTGAGGGATTTGCACATAGTAAAGAAATTATAAGTTCACTTGTAAATCGAATTATCATTTCAAATTTTTTTTACCAAGTAATTAGTCAGCGATGGAGCAGCCCATAAATTAGCTTTAAATTTTTCCCTGATGCTAACTTTCTCTCCAGAAGCAAGTCAAATGTGTATTGTCTTCTTGCCTTCTTCCGAAGTCATATGTTGTGACGTATACACCTTTAGAAATATGTTTGTGGTTGTTCTCAATGTTTTGTATTTCATAGTGTTAGGAGTAACAATATTTTTTGGCTTGAGATTATGATGGAATAAAGCAAAATGGCTCAAACTGTCTGCGCTTCTTTTTTATGAAGCAGCAGTCGGTCCATGCAATTTTGATGGGATTTTCACTATGGGTCATCCAGGAACCGTCTCTCCCTGCTTTGGTACAGGGGTAAGACTGCGTACATCCGACCCCCCCTTACCCCACCGTAGGTGGGAGCCTTTGCGGCACTAGGGTAAATGAAAATGAAATGAGTGTTAGGAGTAACAATGGAATTTCGTAGGATGTATAAACTTCCTTCTCTGCCCTTAAATTCAGCAATGTGTTCCTTACGAATGCTTCAGTGGATCCGGTTACCCTTTAAATTTTAAAAAAGTAACAGAGATATGAGGGATTCCACTATCATTAAAAGCAAGTCCTGTAAACAAATTTTGTAAAAGTATGTCTGAATGATGAAAGATACATTTCAAACTATTTGGAACACTTTGATCCAGCTTGTTATTAAAATCTGAATATGCATAGCAACAAACCAACTTACTCTTAATGCTCAAATCTGTCCATGTCGTGTTCAACTCGAAATTCCTGTTGAACATCTTTTCTTTGGCTAACTCTTCAACAATACAGACCGCTGCCAATTGTGTAATATAGAACTGATGATTTGCCCAATACATAGGGGAAATGGGTGTCCGTGTATATTTCTGCTCTTAGCTCTTGACAGTTTCTGACTTGTAGTAGTGCGGTGCAATTGATTGTCCGTTAATTAACTCCCGTGTATGTTGTGCTGAAAACTGCTTACTATCATATTTCAGCTTATATGCCTCTACATGGCTGTTAACTTAATTATGAATATTTTATAATTTAAGGTATTTTAATAATTTTTTATTTTATTTTAAATGTATCTCACAGGTGGCTAAAAATAAGGACAAAAGGATATTATGATTCGGATCAAGGTCTGCTAAGACATGGCCAATTATTTCCTGGGTCATCTCCATCATACGGTGCAAGCGTCTATGTAATCAATTTAGTGGGCCAAGTGTGTATCTGTATTTTAATATGTGGGCCCGGATAGTACTTAATATCCACTGCTGCTATAGAAGACTCTGAAAATATTTCTAGGCGGGAGCTGTTGAAGCTCACGATTCCCTTTATATATTATTATAGATTAGTATAGACATGTTAAAAAGGGTATATTAAAATAATCCCTTTTTAATATTTCTGGACAGGAGGCCCCGTTAATCTATTACGAGGAACCCAGATGATGTTTGGGGCTGTCCAATTGGGAATAATGGCGGCTTGCGTGGTGCTCTTCGTTCCGCTTGGTATGGCGGGCTGGCATTTGAGCCGCAACAAGATGCTCTTCTTCAGCTGCGCCCTCTTCATCACCCTCTCCGTCGGCGTCCACTTAACCCCTTACTTCCCTTCAATCTCCTCCCTCCTTCCATCTCCGGGTTTCCCGCATTCTGAATCCTCTCCAGATTTAAACCCTAATTCTTGCATTTCCTCACTTCATCAAGTCACATTCAGTGTCCCGAAATCAGACACAAGCAACAAATCTTGGGATTGGGCACATTCCGAGCTTGTGGATCGATGTGAATTTCAGAAGTTGAGGAAACGGGATGCTTCAGATTTGCTAAACGGGTCATGGGTCGTTGTTGCAGGGGATTCACAGGCGAGACTCTTGGTGGTTTCACTATTGGAGTTGTTATTGGGGTCAAATGAGGTCAGCGGGGATCTCTTCAAGAGACACAGTGATTACAGCATTGTGTTGGATGATATTGGGATGAAGCTTGATTACAGATGGGCACCATATGTGAGTAACTTGACTCGTTTGGTGTTTGATTTCAAGGATAAGAACTATTACCCTGATGTGTTAGTGATGGGGTCCGGTCTATGGGATATGTTACACGTGAATGATGCATCAGATTATGGGGTATCATTGAAGCTGTTGAGAGATTCTCTAGTGATGTCCTTACCCATCTACCCGGAATCTGAGTCAGGTACAGGTCGCTCGCCCCGCATGTTTTGGGTCGGGATGCCGATGCTGATTAATTCAATGTTGAACACAGAAGAAAAGAGGGAGAGGATGACTGATGCTCAATGGAAGGCTTATAGTGAAGAAGTTTATCGTAGTAAATTGCTGTTAGGATACGGCGGGCCCTTTTTCTTGTTGGATATTCACACTTTGAGCGGTAATTGCGGGCCAGAATGCACCACAGATGGTATGCATTATGATGGGATTGTCTATGATGCGGCAGTTCAAGTTATGTTAAACGGATTGGTTATAGAGTCCAACCAGAAGTTGTTATGATGAAGGGGCCGGGCTGTTATGGGTCCCTCATCTAACCTGCTGTTTCTGTTAATGCATAGTAGGTCTTATAGAGCTGGAGAAGGCATTCATTTTTCCACATCCATCCTTGATATGAGCAAATGGATGATGCATTTGTGCTCTCATGTAAAAGCATTTTTACTTGTATTATTTACAAGCAATTTTTATATATACAGTGCGCCATCAATCCATTATAAGATTTCCATGCATATATGTTTTTCCTTTAAGAATGTGTTTGGAACTTTGTATTCAAGACGAAGGAAAGCTGAACTCCTTCACTTTGATATTAGAGGGAGTAAGAAAAGGGAATGAGACGAAGGGAAAATAACAAACTTGCTCATCCCTTAATAAAGAGAGGAGCTGGGAATCTTCCATCTCATCTATTCTCAGGTGGACCAGTTCCAGTTCTAGTCTTCTAGACGTAGTAACCGAAAAGTAAAGGGGTATTTTGTGTTTGCAGCTCATTTTATTGTACAAATTGGACTTTGCATCCCGTTTTTAAAATTCTTTGTATTTGCATCCCAACTCCGTATGAAAAGATAAAAGTACTCCTCCATTGACATTTTTGTTGGCCTTCCACATATCCCTGATTGAAGGTATTTTTGTCTTTTCATACAGGGTTGGGGTGTAAAAACAAAGATTTTTAAAATTAGGGTGCAAAGTCTAATTTGAACAATAAAATGAAGTGCATACGCAAATTACCTCAAAAGTAAACCCGGTGTATTGAATTTGGTTCTAACTTGTTCACATCCAGCCTTCAAGTCAGTTTTTAGCCTATTTTAAGATAAAAGTTGGTACCAATGTACCATGCCATAAATTGATCTGGTCATGTTTTGAAGGAATCAGCTCAGTCTAGGAGCTCTTCTGATGCTGAACCATTGTTCCAGTTGGGTTCCAGGGAAATAACCAGTTAACACCCCATGGATGATGGACCAGGTCCATCCCTAGTATGGATGGACTCGGGTCCGGGCCGGGTCTGGGTCGGGCCTAGCCCCGGGCGGGCTGGCGGGTCAGAAATGGTGGACCCGGGACCGGCTCGGGTAACCACCGGGTCCGGTCCGGGCCGGACCGGGCCGGGCCCATTATATTTTTTTTTTGTTTTCCTCTTCCTAATTAACCCCCCTCCCACCCCCAACCCCCCAAACCACCCCAAATGGCCCAAAATACCCAGCCCAACCCGAAAATTTAAAAACAATTGAAAAAAAAAATAGTTTTTGGCCCGAACCGGGCCCGGCCGTGTCGGGCCTTGTTTTGGGTGACCCGAGTCCGGACCGGAAAAACCACGGGCCGGGCCTACCCGGACCGGTCACTGACCGGGCCACTGGGTTGGGCCGGGCCGGAACAGTATCGGTCCCAGGCCGGTTCCGGGTCGGGCTACCCGGCCCGAGTCCATCCATAATCCCTAGTAGGCCTTGTAGTCTCCTCTTTTGAACCACATATATCTTAAACGAATTGTATGATTTCAACATTAGTAATTCTATTACTGTAAATCTATAGCCACTACTTTTTTTGGGTGTTGATAAGAAATCTCATTAGAAACAAGGCACTAAAGCAGTTTCTCTCATTACATCAACTCTTTTTTTGTAGGCTCCCAAATGAAATGCAACCAAACGTGTTTCTAAGAATCAAACTGATTGCCTTCAAAGGTCTGACCATAATTCCAGTTCTTGGGAGAAACACTGTAAGATGTGAGGGTGACATGATCACTATTAGTGATCTCAAACGAGAGAGGTTGACTGCGCAGGTTTGCATTTATGTGCCAATTTTGACCCCAGTTCCTGCCCATCGGAAGCCATCCTGTTCTTGAACCCTTCACTTTGACTGCAACTATATCACCTGCTCCGGCAACATTCGCGATAAGCACTGAAATAAATATTCCGGCACCGTTCACTGTGAACCTCACTCCTCCTTCCTTCCTGCATTTTATTCTGTTTGATGAAAGCAACCAGAATAGATTGTTACTATGGTCTGCATTCCGATTAAGAAGGGTTTATTACTGTGGAACTTGCAAATCTTTAAAAGTTTAAATCATAAAAGTTAAACGTGCTGCATTGCTGCACAAAGCAAAATAGATTTTTCAAAAGAAATAAACATGCCTTGCGATACATCCAAGCAACCAGACACATTAAGAACAATTAACACTGCTTCTTGTATACTACCACGTAATTTTTTCTTATGTAGTTCTCTGTCCCAATTTAAATTTGACTCATGATAAAATTCATTATTAGATTAGTATTAATGAATAACTACAGCTCTACAAATTATATCTACACACTATAACAATGGAGGAAAATTTATTAAAAATGAGCTCGAATACGATCAAAATTTATTAAATAGGATTAGAGGTTAAAAGAAAAGATTTAACTTCAAGAAAATGTGGCTGAAACGCATAAAACCTTAATTTGTAAAAATAACCCTAAAGAGAAATGGAACATATGTATTTTTCATAAATACTCCGTATAAGTACTACAGAGTATAGTTTTTCTACAGCAAAGTATTGTAATTCTTTGGGAAAGTTCCCGAAATAGGACTAATACAGTTTGAAAATTCCAAAATAGGAAGTCTGGTACTGTCAAAACATGGCAGTAATTAGTCCTATTTTGAGAATAAAAACATGACAGTCCTATTTTGGAATTTTCAAACTGTTTTATTTCTATTTCGGGTAATAGGACTAAAACATGGTAGTTGTGCAAGAATAGGACCTTATGTTTTTTTTATCCCCAAATGACCTTTTTTAATTTTATTCCATTCCTACCCTTGCTGTCACGCACATGGTCGCACCAACTTTTCCTCTCCCTTCCTCCTCTCCCTTCTCCCTCTTCTCTTGTCCCCGCAGCAACTCACCCTATTATTTCTATTTTTCCTTTCAGGTATCACCCCTCCCTCCCCTCCCACATTCTCTCTCCTCATTTTCCTTTCTTATAGGCACCCCACCCACCCTCCATGGCTCCATCTTATCTCATCTCCATCTACTCTCCCACCCACCCCCTCTTCTCCATCTCGTCTTTCTTCTCCAATTCTTTCATCCATTCTATTTTTTCTAATTTACGTCTCTTCTTGACTCTAATTTTCGGTGAACCTCAAGGGTGGAAGAAAAAGTAATTACCGTCTCCGATCTGATCAATTCTTTTCTAAATTTCTCCTTGAACGGTGAATTCTAGTGAAATGTATGTCTTCCTCTTCTCTCCTCATCTTCTTCTCTCCTTCATCCTTGTTCTTCATCTACATGTGATTTCTTCTTCTTTTGATTGCTGTATCAAATTTTTTCTTACTTTGGTCTTATTCACTCTTTCAATTTTTCTTTCACCTTTTGTTTTTTTACCATTTTATTTTATCTTTTACAATAAGATTATAATTTTTGACATGAATTTCAATCAATTTTTTTGTAACTTTTCAAATTACTTTTATAATTTTTGTGGCATTACTGAAAATATTACTCCTTTATAAATGCAATACTAATAATGGCCTATTTTTTATGTGCAAATATTATTTCCACACTTAATGCCATCGTTATGACACTAATGTTAAAAAGATGGCAATATAACTTCTTTGAAAATACAGTAATGCCATGTTTTTCATCTGAAAATGTCATCTTATTCTGTCAGGAAGACAATAATGTTATTAAATAGGCAATTAACCACGACACTTATATGATATCCATAACTTATTTCCACACCTAATGCCATCGTTATGAAACTAATGTTACAAAGATGACAATATAAATTCTTCGAAAATATAGTAATGCCATGTTTTTTATCTGAAAATGTCATCTTATTCCGTCAGGATGCCAATAATGTTATTAAAATGGCAATCTAACTACTACACTTATATGATATCCATAAGGACCATAACAAATCAGAGGTTAGACTAGAGATTTGCCATGGTAGGTGGTGGATAAAACCATTGGTGGCGCCTGGTGGCGGCGACATAGGCGGTGGAGATGGCACCATGGAGGTGGAGGCGTTGGCGGTGGCGGTGGAGTAACTAATAGTGGTGGTGACAGAGGTGGCGGGCGGTGGTGGAAGAGTTCTCGCCGGCGATGACATGGGTGGCAGCAACAGGGGTAGAGCAACCGATAGAGGCGGCCTGCGACAGCGGTGCTACGGTGGGGGTGTGGGGGCATAAAGGTGGTGGCAGAAAGATTGAGGAAAAATTCTGGATTTTTTTTTGCATCACTGGATCTCCGGCGACTAGCAGCGGCGATAGGCGGCGGGATTCTGGATGTTGTGCCAAGGCCGACGGATTTCCGGCCGATGGCAGCCGGTGGCGGCCGATGGCGGTGGAGATGGCCTACGACATTGGTTGTTGGGGCTTGCCGCAGGTGATGATTGGTGTGTGAGGTTCGTACGTTGCGGAGAAGATGACCTGCAGGAATCGGGGATTCTAATTTAAAGGGTAAATTGCTCAACTCATGTTACTTTCAGTCTTATTAAAAACTAGACTCCTATTTATGCATTTCTTGGTTTATTTACTCCTATCCACGGAATTTACTCTTTTTTAAAATCCTGGTGTTAGCTCACACAACGTGGGGTAAGGAGCGGAGAACACTTCATCTATTAATTACTCGATCTGTCCTCCTACTATTGTCCCATTTTTTTCATTTTTGGATGTCCCTTTAATATTGTCTCATACCATATTTGGTAATATTTGTGTGGCTCTAATTCATTTTTACTTTATTCTCACTTTATCAACTCATTATCAACCATACAATTTTACTTTTCTTTAAAATCACATCACTCCCTTCCGTCCCAATATTAGGGGGACGGAGGTAGTAAATACCAAAAAAAGCTACGGAGTACATTGTAGAGGTACAAATGCTTTTACTTGAAGAGAAATTGCCCAATATAGGAGTAAACATAAAATAATTGCACAAATAGGAGCAAAACTTAAAACTTCCTTCAATAGGAGTAAATATTAATTTTGTACTCTTAATATCCCTAACCTAGTTAATTCTAAAATATGACTTATTTGATCCTATTAAAAAAACTAAGTTCATTCACTGGAAGAAATACCTTTATGCAGTCCGTTTAATTTTAAAAATAATCTAAGTCCATCCCAACAATATTAAAATATTAAAAATTAAAAATGTTATTTTTGTAAAAATAAAAAACTTTAAAAATAAATAAAAAATAGATAAACTGTATGAAAAAATATAAAAAAATTATGCAGACCTTTCCCGCAGCCACGGTCATCACCTAGCAATGTCACCTCCAATCGGTGAAAAAAATGCCATTTTATGTAAAAACTGCCATTTTTCTTTGAAAATGTCATAAAGATGGCAGATTTACTCTTTGAACATCTTGATGGTATTTCGGGAAAATGTTGGCATTTTTCGGTGGTCGGAGCTGATGGTGCTGGGAGGTTGTTGAGGCGGCGGCAGATGCCTACATATTTTTTTATATTTTTTTCATTTTATATTTTTTATTTTTAAAATTTTTTAGTTTTTTATTTTTTTAATAATTTTTTATTTTATTGAATACGGAGTATATTTGATTTGATATATGTTTGTGTTTTTTTTTACAATTTTATTATAAATTAATTAATCTTACGGAGTATTTCTTTTATATTTTAATTATTAATGAAAGTCGTTGGAGCTTGAATAGGGGTATACTTGTCCAAACACTAAAGTTACTCCTATTCAAAATATGGTACTCCTATTTTTGCATTTTGCCTAAATTTTACTCCTGTTTGGGGAATTCTCTCTTACTTGGATTGTTTTCAGCCCCAGACCAGACATAAACAGAACGAACCGACCCAGACCAGACTTCCACGGTTATAAAATACACAGAGACCAAACACTTATCAGACCAAACCATACCAGATCAGACTTAAATAGACCACTCCAGACCAACATATTTCAATCCAAATAAAAACATTATAAGTATTGCAATCCTTAAACCATATTGCTAATTACTACCTCCGTCCCCCAAATATTGGAATAGAAGGGAGTGGTGTGGTTTTTAAGAAAAGTAGAATTATGTGGTTGATAATGAGTTGATAAAGTGAGAATAAAGTAAGAATGAATTACAGCCATACAAATGTTACCAAATATGATATGAGAAAATAATAGTGAGACATCCAAAAATGAAAAAATGGGACAATGATAGGAAGACGGAGGGAGTACAAGTTAAAACAACTAGGCCTTATATATACACATATTGCACTACATTGATCAAGAATTATGTATTAACAACTTTTAAATATTAAATAACACTAAAGTAGGAATTTTTAATATTTAAACAGGAAAAAGAACACTAAAGTAGTAGTATATTTTTAAAATGTTGGGCTTTCCGAATCAGGAGTAGGGCTGAGCAAAACCCGACCCAACTCGAATACCTCACCGGATATTTCAGATTTTACCCGATTGGATAGGGTCAACTGACCCGATCACCAAACCCGAAAACCCGCCAGAATTATCCCTATTGATTACTGGGCCGGGTAGGATTTGGATATAACCCACCCGACCCGTTCGAAAACCCGAAGACCCAGCCCAGTATACATCCCATATATAACTATATATACTCCCCTAATAAACCCTAGCCCACTTCCACCTACTTCTCTATCTCTCTCTACTATGACTCTATGATAACTCTCTTCGCTGACCACTTCATCTCTTCGGACGCCGACTGTGTGACGGTGAGTCTGTGAGGGTTTCAAACTATCGGTCTATTACTCATGCCTCAGTCTTCTCTTTTCCCACTCTTACTCTCACACGCTTCTTGGTTTGAAGTTGAAACCCTAAAGTCGTCAAACGTTGAACTGTGGAAGCATTGCCCCTTTTCCGGTAAAGCCAAGCTCACTCTAAGTGTCCCACTCTCAGTCAATCAGTCATAGTCGAGCATGAGGTATAACTTCTATTCTCTGCTTGATGAAGAGTGTAAATTGTGGTTGTGACTTGTGAGTTGTTGTTTATTATGTAAATTGAATGTCAAACTGTGGAAGTAAAAATGATGCTTGTGTGATAGTTTATGTCACTGTTTGTGCTACATGAATATTGAGGACTGATTTGTGGGCATGTCTGTCTGAAACTGTATTTAAGTATAAATTATGGTTATGTATTTGCTTGATAGTGGGAGCTACGTAAGGTTGTGTATATAAATGTTGCCTATTACATGTTGCCTATTGTTGTTGTAGAAGTTACCTGATTGACTCAAACAATCAAGCTGAGTAGTTAGAGTTCACTGGTTCTTCTAAGTCTGTAGAGAATAGTTAAGCCTACTGCTTGTACTATTTTGTAAATCTCCTTGGTGATTGTTCCAAACTTGATTTCTATGCATGCCTAACTGCCTTGACTGAGAAGTTAGTCAGTTTATGAACTTGTAAGTTCATTAACTATCTTTCTTTATGAACTGGGATATGCCACTTATGTTGTGTAATTTTTGTTACTTTTGTTATGTGTTAAACACTTAAACACTTATCACTCCTCTTATTGTGTATTTGTGTATGCCCCAGTGTATCTGTAGTGTATGAACACTTAAACACTTTACACTTATGTAAGTTATATATTGTGTACATTTTGTTCACTATGTTAAAAAATTTCATGCAATGAAAAAATAACTAAACTGTTTGGTAGATTAGTATTCCATTACAAAAAAAATTATATCCGAAATCCGACCGATACCCGACTGAATCCGAAAATGAAAATATCCGAAATACTTTTTCCATTTTTTTAAGAGTTGGGTTGTAGAATATTAGCCCGATACCCGAACGGGTTTAAAGTTTTTGAACCTGATCCGCCCGAACCTGACCTGTGCTCGGCCAGAATCAGGAGGCTGGTGGTGCAGCATTTTTTGAATGGCATAAAATGTTTTAAAAATACTTCACATTTTTTAGAAAAACAATTTCTCGAATACAATTTCAACATATTTATGATAAGCTTTATTTCCTGAAACGGATGGATTCTTTAACTTCATCCAAACCATATTTCATGTAGTGATGGTAATGCGGCAGATTATACAAAGTAATTACGCACCTGCGGTACTTAATAGGCATATTGGAAGCTTTCCAAACGGCGATTTTCTGAAAGGATTCAATGGGCAGTACGAAATGGGCTTTGGGAGGGTTACAGTGGCCGCCGGCGTCCGGCTCGAAGCTATAGTTGGGCGCGCAGAAATTGGTAGCGGTTACAATGACGGAAGTCCCCGGAATGCACCACCGGAGGTCCTCCACGCACCTCACCTCGAAGCACGCGCCGCAGATCTGGCCCCTCTCGAACAGAACCGTGCTCAGCCCGGCCGTGGACTTGCCGTACCCGCTCTTCTCCAGATCCCCATACCCGCAGGCCCCTCCCACCGCGTCCCTGGGATCTGCCGGCGCGTAGTAGGTAGCGGTTGCTGGACGCCACTCCGACTGCGACGAGGCTGCGGAGGAGGAGGAGGGTGACCGGTTGTAGTGGGAAAATACTAATGGAGCTGTACAACAGAGTGTCCAAGCTAGGAGATGTGGTAGTAATAGTAGTAGTACACTATTGGGCATACTTAAAGCTTGCCTTGTGTATCTCTGTTCCCCGGAAGTCTGCTTCGCCGGCGCCGGATGGATAGTCCGTGAATCCGGGGTCAGTGGCCGTAGCTGGCTAATAAAGCAGCCTTGGTTTTTTTGCAGGAGTGAAACGGTTTAAAAGAAAAATCTGAAAATAATAATTTCAACTATTGCTGGTCCGTTAATAATAATTTCACTATTTATTATTATTGTATAATCCCAACTATATGGATCGTCCGTCAATAATGGTTCATGACCGCATATTACTTGCTCTAAAAAGTGAATTTTTAATAGAAATTAACGTAAAAATTAAAATTCGGGATTATTTATACGGATTACCTGTTATCTCTTTAGAAACTATAGAATTTTATTTATAGTCGGTCACCTCGTACCATTATTGGCGGAAGGACCTTAAAGTTGGATTATTCTGAAATAATCGATAATTGAGATTATTATGAGCGGACCGCAAATAGTTGGATTATTAGGATCAATTTTTCCTTTAGATAATATGACCGTCAAAATTTAAAGCCAGGTTTAAATGTGGAGTTGGCCGTTTTTCAAATATGATTGGGGACAAGGGTTCGTCAATACACCAAGTTTTATGAGAAGAGAATAATATGGAGTAGTTCGGAGCAATAAATATAAAATTCTACGGAGTCCATCTTTTAGTCTTTTACCACAGAATTTTGAGGGTTCGTCCATCTTATAAAATTTGTGCAGAGGTTAGAGTTCTTGTGTGTTGAGTTTTACTAAGACACCGTGAGTTACAACATCCCAAATATTTTGACGGATTGGGATGTGAAGGCCCTTGAAGTTGAGCATTCAATTTTGTGGAACAAGATTGATAGAGTGAGCATCCATCATCAAACCAAAATTTGTTGGACAGATGGAGTATTATTTCTAAGCTTATATGATCCTCAACCTAAAAAACATGGATGGCTTCACCGACCTTGGGGTAGTAGAAATCGAGAAAGAAAGAGTTGAAAATAACCAAGTATAGAGTGAGTAGAAAAACCATATATTTCTTGTGTTAATCTAGTTTTTCCTTCCACCTCAACAACGATCAATATATTCATCTCTGTATTTTTACATACAATAAATAAACCTTTAGTTTCTTTGTTATACATATATTTTTCTAACTTCTTATAAATTCTTAAATTTTAAAAGTCACATATTTTAATGTAACGAAATCTACTTGGATATTTCCTCCCTTTTTAGTTATTATAAATAAAAATTAATAACTTCTATTGTTCTAACTTAGTCAACATGACAATATGAATATGTAAACACTATTGAAAATGATAAATAGTGTGCTCTAAAAAAGAGAATAGTTGGTGAATATGATGTTTTTTCCTCATTGCTAGGGTATCCACATCTCTGCCGGTGCTTATATCGCGGAACCAGTGCTTATATCGCGGAACATCATGCACCATTTGTTATTTTTTATTTTTCCTTTTCTTAAAATTGTTAATAATTTTTTTATTTTTGATCTGATTTTTATAAAATTTATATCAATTTTTTTTATTTTTCATGATCTTTCAAATGAGACCAATATTACCCATGTAATTTTAATTTTTTACCTTCATACATTTTTTGTAATATATTTTTATATGCATACACTTTTTCTATAATATTTTTTTATCACTTTTATATGTTTTTAGAGGTTTTTAAGATATTGAGTTTGTTTATTTTGCTTCTAGCTTGGAGTTACATTTGATAATATATGAAGTTACATCATCTTATACTCCAGTTACAAGTTATTATGTGTGAGTTACATCTTGTTATACACGCGTTACATACTTTTATGCGCGAATTACATGTAATTATGTGTGAGTTATATCTAATTATTTGTGATTTTTTTACTTATCTTTATCTTGAACTAATTCAATTATAACTGAATTAATTTTTTTCTTTGCCAATTTAATACAAAATTTTATTAATCCACATAAAATAAGTTTAGCATAGTAACACCTCATCGCAGTTGTCGAGATTCGAACCCGGGACCTAACCCTTGAGGCACTCCCTTGCTACCAGTTGAGCTACGTCCACCGGTATAACTCTTGTATAACCCTTTTGACCTAACCCTTGTATAACTCATATTTTGGAGTTTCCACTGATTTTACTGCTATTATACAATTGTGTCTTCCCTTCAATTCTCATGCTCATCCTCCACGTAAGCCTTTCCCCTTTTCCCTTTTGCCTACACTTCTTTTTAACAGTTGAAGTCAACTAGCATGGATTTAGCCCCTTCTTTCTCCCAAAATCAACCCCCTGCCCCCACCCCTCTATGCAATTGAATGTAACTTTGGAGTGAATATACTTTAATTTGATATATTTACACCATTCACCTCATAGTCAGCGCCGGTTATCCAGAATAGGGCCACCGAACTTATAGGGCCCCAGATTTTTAAAAATTTATTAGTATTATACTCCATTTAGCAATATTAGATATTAATACTAATCAGTAAAATACAATTAGTAAGAAAGAAAAATAAAGATCCATTATTTTTCCATTGGTCTCTTCTCTCTTTTAGTTCTCTTTTAATGAGTATTCCATTGATTTGAGTATAAGTATTTGGAATGAGATTCTTTTATATTTTTTTATATTAATTGGGCCTCAATTTTACATTTACAACCGGGACCTCCAAATTCATTAGACGGCCTAGTTAGAGTCTCACACAATATGTAGCCAAGGAGCTATATATATTTGGTGGCCATACAATGTATATCCTTACTTTTGACAGATTTAATAAATAGCACTCAAATGAATCCACATCTCCAGAACATATGTCAAATGTACTGAGGGGGTAAAGACAAAAAAAATGGGAAATTAACAACATCATTCAATTAGTTTGAACCAAAAGGTAAATTTGGTTACCCAAGATAGGAACAGAAATAAGTCCAAGTAACCAAGCAAGAAAGAGTACTCATCAGTCCAATTCTGAGCAATCCAAAGCAGCTTTTATTTTCTGGATGGTGGTGCTAATGAGGGCATGCACACTAGCCATACACTCCATACTGTCCTCCTTTGAGAAGGAGCTGTTACTCATCATACTCTGGATGACCACTGTCAATAGGGACCCACATTGTGCCCTAGCCTTTGAACTGCTCCCGCTTGATGAACTCGTCTTCTCCCGTCGACCATCGCCGCTGATCACGAATCCAGATGGGAATATCGGGAATTTTACCGGATCGTCTCCGTTTATGGCGGAGGAGATATCACGGAGCTTCATTGTCGCGTACATTACATACGCTTCCAAGGAGTTAATGCTGCTCTCTTGCACCATTACGATATTGCTTTCTCTTCTACCAAGAGGCTGCATCATGAAAGTTAATACTCTTATACTCCGTACTTATTACCATAAAGGGCTTGTTTGGCAATCGGCGGTTAGCGGTTAGCGGTTAGCGGATTGTGTTAGCGGGTTTTAAATAGCGGATTGAGGTAGCGGGTTTGACCGGCGGATTAGTTTGACGGGTTACAAAAAGTTGTTTGGTAACTTAGTTGTTTGCTTTTAGCGGTTAAAATATGAAAATACAAAAAAGGGCTTTAGGATGGACAATATTTGTTTCTTTGTTTTTTTGTTTAATACTACGTATGATCTTATAAGTATACTACTCCGTACTACGGAATATATATATGTATGTATATGTGAGTTAACTAATAATTTTAAAAATAATTAAATAAAAATATAACAATTGAAATGGATAGGTGGACTAAAAATGGATGAGTTAACAGAAGTCTTATGTTTTAAAGGAGTAAAAACAGACAGGTGGACTAAAAATAACCCTAGCTTCAGATGATTGGTGTCGAAGCTTCATGCAATTTTTTGGAAACATAGTTGTAAGCACTTCAGGGGTATAGGAGAGATGGAGGAGAGATGCTCGCCGCTTCCGATTTTGACATCACGATCTGCATCCGCCGTCTATGTTGTAGGGAATGGGTGAAGAATAGGGAGAGAGAAGAACGGGGGGAGAAAATTGAGGGAGGGATGAAGAGAAGAATACAACAAAAAAGCTTGTGATAATTTGGGGATCTTTTCATGTGAAGCTGCCCGACCATTTTTTCTTCAGGTGAAAGGTATATCTGCGACATAAGGAATGAAGAATAGGGAAGGATACGGTTGAGAATTGACAATTAATTCGGAGCCGCTAATCCGTAAACGCTGCACTTTGAAGCGTTTTGGTTTTTGGCGTTTCAGACCAAAACGCCATTCTAAACCGCCATCTCCCAAACACTTTATTTCAGCGTTTTGATCAATTGAAAACGCCAATTTTAGTCAAACCCGCCAATTTTTGGCTGAAACGCCATTTACCAAACATGGCCAAAGTTAAATGTAGGTTGATGGACATAACTATTCTATTATGTAACGGTTCAACTGACCACCTAGGGTAGCTAGATCAAAACCTAAACTACTGAGTAGTGTACAAACGAGTCTAACCGTTCATGAACTCAATTCCTTTTAACGTGTGGCTCGCGGTTGGCTCGCTATTACATAAGTAAATAGAAAATTTATTTTTCATTCAAATTCGAGCATCTCATTCAATATCGCACCTATAAAGTTAATGAGCGGAACAATTAAGTTAGTGAGCGAAACTCGAATTGAGCTAGAGTCGAGCCCAAACCTAGCCTGAATGGTGCCCGAATTGAGCCCAAACTAAGCTCGATTTTGGCCCGACCCGAGCTCGAATCTAGCTTGAGCAAAAATATAAGGCTAACTCGAGCTTGAGCTCTATTGCATTCAGAGGCGTAGCCAGGGTAGAAGGTTGGGGTGGGCCGGTTACAAAGAATTTTTTTTTTTTTTTTTTGCACATAGATCTTTACGCTAAAAATACAAAATACAAAGAATTTTCAAATTTAGTATGAGCCGGGGCTCGACTGGCCTCCGCCCATGATTGCATTCATTTCAACCTCAACCTCAAGAATATATACTCAAGTTCGAGCTCGCTCATTTGCATCCTCAATACTAAGCAAAAGGAAGACCTTAAAGAGCTTTGTTCTAAGTTGTGTATATACTATCTAAAAAAAGGAAATGGTGATTTTAATTTGGGATCGGAAGGAGTAATTAATTACCTGGATTATGGAGACACGATTTTCAGGATAGCTGCCGGTAGAAATGGCAGCTATC